CCAGGCTCTCACATCACCAAGCGCGAAGCGCCGTGAGGTATTCGGCGAGTCGCATGAAGGGTGCGCTGCATCCTGCTAAGGGTGTTCGGCATCTATCTCGTGCTTACTTCCTTGCATACGGATGACAGCTGCGTATGACTTAATGTATTTTCTGGTGCTTCACTTCCAGAGACAGTTGTAAGCACTCTGTAGTCTCACTGCCTCGAGGGTGCTTGACCATGTTAACACACCGTGGTGCGATCATTCCCCTTGCGCGGAGTGAGGGTTCTCGACCCCGGACAACATGATCTACTCGACCACCATTAGCCAACATGGTTACCGCCAAAAAAAAACCGGAGGTAAAAAAACAACAACGGTAACCTGGTTGCAGAGTTCACGAAATGAATTAGCTTGTTTTACAACGTCGTTGCCAAGCGACGAAAACCCAATCCCGATGGCAAACACCGGGCGGGGGTGGGCGGCTTGTTTTACAACGTCGTTGCCAAGCGACGAAAGTCCAACCCCGATGGCAAACACCGGGGGGTGGGGAGGGGGATGTACTCATAGTCGTGCATGCCGTAGTCGTTAGACCATTGACCTCGCATCCCGACAAAGCCGGGACGGAGCACGCCGGGTTCTCACCGGGCCAGGCTCTCACATCACCAAGCGCGAAGCGCCGTGAGGTATTCGGCGAGTCGCATGAAGGGTGCGCTGCATCCTGCGAAGGGTGTTCAGCTTCTTGTTGTGCTTACTTCCTTGCGCACAGATGACAGCTGCGTATGACTTATTTTTTTTCTGGCTCTTTCACTTCCTGATACAGTTGTATGCACTGTGTAACTGCCTCGAGGGTGCTTGACCATTTTAACACACCGTGGTGCGATCATTCCCCTTGCGCGGAGTGAGGCTTCTCCACCCCACAAAACATGATCTACTCGACCACCATTATGGTTACCGCCAAAAAAAACAGAGGTAAAACAAAAAACGGTAACCTGGTTGCTGAGTTCACGAAGTGCATTGTCTTGTTTAACGTTGCCAAGCGACGAAAACGCAATCCCGATGGCAAACACCGAGGTGGGGGGGGGGGGGGGTTGGACCCC